GCTTCTCTCCACTAAGTATCGGTAGCATTTTTGCCCCCATCACCATGGTTACTAAAAATGTCCTCATGAATTTTCAGTATGTCCTTGGAACCAGTGTTGCACTTGTTGAGAACCACTTTTGTTAAGTTCTGAAATGCTCGGGTCCCGTGATTAAAATCCCTGGAAGAGCAAACTGAAATGTCTAGCCAATAAATGATCGTCTTACTTTGCCCAAAGTATTGCTTTTAAAGTAGAAGGTTATCCTTAATTACCTTTTTCCACTCACTCATTAGTCCAAATATTTATAGAATGGCTGTCTGGCTCTTAGTTTCTCTCTCTGTAAAATGGATTTGATAATCATACTTAACCCTTATCTGGCTCACAGAACCATCATGAAGATTAAAGAAGATATAGGGCATTTAAAAGTAAACAGAAATACATATCAGATCTACAAAAGATTAATTATGATGAGGCTGGCACAAGCTAAGCACGCGACACATGTTAGCTTTTAAGATGTGTTCTCTTGTGACGGCTCAGAGAAACCACGTTTATTAGGGACCGACTCTATGCCAGGCACCGTGTTATATGCTTTCCTATTGCTATGCCGTGCTACTCTTTGCAAATGAGAACACAGGAAGCACACAGATTATTTGCTTGCTCAAGAGAAGACAGTGGGGAAGTGGACAGAAGCGCGTGTGTGTGTTGCAGGGGGGTTATAGCATTCATTCATTCATTCATTCATCAACTACTTATTGAGCACCTATTATGTGTCAGGCACTGTCCTAGGTTCTGGGGATACAGCAGTGAATAAAAGATACAAATCCCTTCCTTCGTGTACATGTTTAGCGGGAAGACACACAATAAACAAGCAAATGAGCAAATGTAAATGTCTTGAGGCCGGAGCAGAGTTTCCCTCTTGGATGAGGACGGCCTGGTGAGTGGACAGGGATGGGGATTCAGAGAGGTCGAGGGCGGGTCCTGCGAGTCTCTCGAGATGACTCAGATGGACCAGGGTGAGAGTGACGGACGTGGCGACCATTGATGACGTGTGAATATATTTTAAATGCAGGACTAATATCATTTGCTGACTGGTCGGATGGGGGTGCGTGTCAAAAAAATCGAGGAGGACTCACGGGTTTGGCCAGAGTACCCGGAAGGAGGGAGCTGCCATTTCTTGCGACGGGGAAAAACCAGGGGAACGAGACATCCTGGGCCCGCCCCTCCTTGTCAGCCCCATCTCCATCCTCCCTCTCCTTGTTCCCTTTCTTCTCTCCTCCTCCTTCTTCCCCTCCTCCCCCTCATCTCCTCCCACCTCCCTCCATCCTCCCCGTACCTTTTGGTACCAGTGCTTGACCAGGCGGATGAGGCTCTTGACCTTGGCTGGTCTCTGCTTCAGGAAGCTTCGCTGCAGCTCCGTGAAGCAGGAGGAGAACTCGCCCTCCTTCCCCAGACTTTCGCACTCTCGGATGAGCTTGACGTAGATTTGGGGGTCAGGTCTGTAGTCTTCGTGGATTTGGGAGTCAGAATAGTAGCTTCTCGGCACCTGACCTGTTAGGGACAAACCCTTAACTTTAAGGTGTCCGTTCTTCTCTAATAAGATTTGAGTCGCTCAGGAGAGACAAGCTCTGGCTGTGGCTATGGGTGTGGTGGGAAGGGCAGGGGGCTCAGAGTCAGGGGGCCTGAGGGCCATTCCCAGGCCCCTCTTCTCCCATCTCCGCTGTCATTGCCCCAGCCAGGCCACCAAGGTTACAGGCTCCTGGGGGATCAGCTGTCCTGGCTCATTTTGTGGTCGCTTCCCCGCTGCCCTCTCCCCTCCATCCATCCTCAGGGGCTTTCGGCCCCTCCCCCCCGCCACGCTGCTCTTTCCCGACCTCGAGGCCGTTGCCTGTGCTGTTCCATCCACCTGGCAAGCTCTTCCTCCCCTTCTCTCTCTCCCTCTTATTTTTGGTCACCATTTTGTACCCCGGCCCCCAACACAGGCCACGGCAACCGGGAGAGATTCCCAAGCTTTGTCATTTCGCAGTGCCTTTAGAGTTTTAATATTTTTCTTGCCGGGCCCCTTAGGCCAAAAAGAAATCCCTAACAGTTCTGTTTATGAAGTAGCTCAGTCTGTATAACTTAATAATAGTTGATGGCATGGTGTCAGATTTAAAATCTAAACTATTCCCCTGTGCGTTAGTTCATTGGAGTGTCTTGGGGTGCCTTGGTGCACAGTTTGGGGACTCAGATTTTTGAACACCTACTATGTGCCAGGCCCCGTGTAAGAGCTCAATGTAGATAATCGCTTAATACTTAAAATAATCGCATGACAAGGGGGGCGGTGACCTGGGGTGGGGAGTGGCTGACACTGGAAAATGGGTTTTTGCACTGTTTTTATTTTTTTTTCCCTTTAAAATAAAAATGAAAAGAGAAAAAAAAAAAAAACTGGTAAAACTAGTGTGGTTTTACCAGTTTCACCAATGTCGGACCGAACCTCTGAGAGGTTACGCTTCCTAGTTCAAATGTTTCTGCACATTAATTAGCCAGAGATCCCAACCCTCGGTCTAAGTTTCATGAGGCTTTGTCATTTTGGGGGGGTAAAAGATGAAATTAACATATTGATTTTATGCCAGATCTATGCTGTCTCATTTTTAGAAAGATAGAACACTTCGCCACAGGTGGAACTAGTCAGCAAGCCTGGCAAGCTTACTAAGTGTCTTGCTCCCAAATTGGGCCAATTTATTGTTTCATGTCACTTCTGTGGCCGATCAGACCTTCTTCATTCTAAAATCTCTTCCCCGCTTTGAAGGGAGGCTCTATTTTGGGAAGACCCTCAAACGGTGGGAGATCGCTATTCAGAAATATAAAAAGAGAGAGAAAGAGGCCCTGACGTAGGACAGAGGCTGAAGCCCCTCGTGTTTGGGGCACTCACCCAGGACATCAAAGGCAGGCAGGACATCAAACTCCACGTCACTGTGGAACAAGGGGGACCTGAGCACGAAGCCCAGGGCGCGGGGATTGTCCCATCTAGTATTCTGAACCTCAAACACCACTGCAAACTTATAGGTTTTTTGACAGGCTTCCAGCTGCCTCCTGATTTCCCGGATGAATTCTCCTCGGCGATCAAACTGCTCCTGAAAACTTCTGAGGTGGCTGAGGAAGACCACGAGGTCGGCATCGGATCGGCCTCTGAGGGTCGTGCCTTTGCCCGAGGAGCCGCCCTGAAACAGAGGAGGATGAGAGCGAGCGTTCGTTGAGAAGAGCCCCCCGAAACACAGCGATGAGAACCACCACTAACATTCGTGAGCCTTCGCCAGTGTTCCGAGCGCCTCGCCAGTCCTGGCTCCCACGATGTGCCCAGGGACTCGGCATTTCGGCACTAGTATTATTAGTTCCCACTTTACAGATGGGAAAACAGACGTTCAGGGAGGTTATAGATCAGCCCAATCACACAGCTAGTAGGTGACGGCGATGCAGTTCAAACCCTGGCTGCCTTGTTCGAGAGGCTGTGATCTTTACTCCTTGGCCTTCACTATCTTATATTGTTACATACTGCAGACCCGGCCCAGGGTGGGAAGTTTATTTAATCTGCACAGCCTTTTAAGGTATCGGGAATTATGGATGAGGATATTGAGGCGCAGAGAGGGTAAGTAACTCGCTCAAGTTTTAGCAGCCAGTGACTGCTACTTGCTTTCAAAACTTACACTCTTTTTAAAATTATTATTACTAAACTTACTGGGAGTAACACTGGTTCATAACATTATATAAATTTCAGGCGTACAGTTTTATAATACATCTGTATACTCTTGTATGTGCTCACCCCCCAAAGTCTAGTCTCCCTCCGTCTCCTTTTATTTGACCCCCTTTATCCTCTTCATCCTCCCTGCAACCCCATTCCCCTCTAGGAACCACCAAATCTGTCAAAACTTATCCTCTTAATCAGCTCATGATACTGCAGAGATGGTGAATCACCAGCCTGGCCACTAATTAGCCAATTGTTGATCAGAGCTGGGCCTCAGTTTCCTACCCCTGAAATAGACGTGGCCTAGGGTGGGGGTTCATGAACTTTGCCCGGGCATTTGTTAAACAATTAGAAGCAGGACTTCACCCCAGAGTCTGTTTTCACAAGCTGTGGTTATATGTTGGGTTATGGATACATCGGAAACCGCCGGCCCCGAGACCTCAATCTTTCACTCTCTCTCTGCGGAAGCTGTCGCCCATTCGGTCACCCCCCTCCCCACCCCACCTCCAGTCCAGCAGGCGGGCTCACCTTCACAACTTTGGACACCCGCACCTGGTGGGCCTCATGCAGGAAACACCTCTCCTTCAGGAAAGCACAGATGATTTCGATGGCTTGTTTGACCCCCTTGCGGAAAGACGTGTCTGGCAGGAGGTAGTTTTCGATGAACCTGTCCAGATCTCTAGCTAGGGTGTTGGAGAGATCCATTGCGAGGCTCGGTGGGCACAGAAGAGCCAGTGGCTGCAGAGCTGGCTCCAGGAGAGTGTCAGCCTCTCCCTCTTCTGCTGCCGAAGTCCCACGGCTGTGGGTTTCGTTTCACCAGCGATGGGAGGAGCTGTGCTTCTTGGGAGGAGCTGTGCTTCTTGGGAGGAGCTGTGCTTCTTGGCCAACCAAACATTTCTGAGATCTTGCAACAGTGGCTGTTCACCCAGCTTGCTCCTCTGCTTTCGGAAACTTAAACTCTTTGACCTTAACACCTGCTCTTTCCTCAAACTGTACTCTGAACACGTTGTTCTTTAATCCCCATTAGCACCTCACCCAAGGGACATCATAATTCAAACCCAATTTTCGGTTTCCTTCTTGTTTTCTGTTGCCGCTGTCGCTGACAAAATTGTTTTACGATCTCCTATGACTCTTACAGCAGTATATGCATATCACACACAAAAGGTCAGAAAAATCAAGAAGCATAAAACCCTATTCATAACCCTAAACTTCAAAGACTAACATTATGAACATTTGGATATACATCTGTTCAGCCGTTTTTCTACGTTACACACGCGCGTGTGGACACACACACACTCAGTTCTCTTTCCCCTTTTTTAAAAAAATGGCATCATCCTATACTTATTTCCTTTTGATGGATAGCCTTTATTTCTTACAGCAGTTTTAGGTTGGCAGAAAAATTGAAGAGCAAATACAGAGTTCCCTTATGTCTCTTCTCCTTCCACACAGTAATTTCCCCTTATTAAGCGTGGTGCATCTTACAAGCGATGAATAGCTATCGATACATTAACTAAGGTTCGCAGTCCCCATTCGGGTTTGCTCCGTGTTGTACATTGCAGAGGTTCGCCAAATGCATAATGTCCCGGACCCACCATTATGAAGTCACACAGAATGGTGTCACTGCTCTAAAATCCCTCTCTCTCCACTTCTCTGTTCCTCTCTGTTCAGATCTTTCTTTTCTAATCTATGCACTCAACGCAAAATATTTCCCTCTAAACACTGCTTTCATGGCATCCCACAGATTTAATTGTTTTTTTGTTGTTGTTGTTGTCAGCCAGTGCAAAATATTTTAAAATTTCTCTTGAGAATTCTTTGACCCATGGGTTAGTTAGAAGTGTGGTATTTAATCTCCAAACATTTTAGAATTTTCCAGAGTTTCCTTTCACTGATTTCTTGTTTAATTCCACTATGGTAGAGAGGCTCCTTTGATGAGATCTAGCCTTTTGAATGTGTTAAGGTTGTTTTATGGCCCAGAATGTGGGTCTGTCTTGGTGAATGTTCCATGTGAGGTTGAGAAGAATGTGTATTCTGTTTCTGTTGAAGTAGTGTATAGATGCCGATTAGCTATCTTTCTAAACCAGCTCGTCAATTAATTGACACTCCCCACTCCTGTATAACATGTAGACTTAGGCTTAAGGCAAACGGTAACCATGAAGGGATGGAGCATCTGTCTATGGAACCCTTGCTTTGCCCACCAGTTGGATTGTGTGTATATAAAAGATTCTGTTTGCTCCTAAATGCCTTTAAGGCAATTGTACTTGCTAATGAAATCTACTTTTGACTGAAGATATATATACATATAAACGGATCCAACATTAGTCAGGAAAGAGATGTGTCCTTAGGAAACCAACAATGAATTGTTTGGAAACATGCAATAAAGGCAAGTTTCAGACAACGTTGCATAGAAATAGATAACTGTAAAAGGCTGAGGAAGTAATTGGAAAAATCCATAATTATGCCCTCATGCCTTTGCAAGTGGCTTTGAGTTCTTGTTCCTTTGAAAGAAGAACAGGACTTTATAGACGGCTCATTCTTGTCTGTTTTAAACAAGACAGATCTTGCAGAATTCCAGTCAGGGCCCTGCCCTCGGCAAAAAGGTCTAGATCTTTCTTTACATCTGTGGGCCCTGGCAACCAAGTTAGAGGTTCATGATACTCTGACGTGCTGCCTATGGAGTCGAAGAGCCACAAGGAGACGTGACTTGCTCAAGGTCACACAGCAATATCGGGCCAGAGCCAAGCAAAATGCAGCCCCTACATGCATGCATGATGATTCCTGTGTGCACGGTGCTGGTATGCATTGTTCAACCTCATTAGGCCAATGCCCCTGACGAATTTAATCAAGCTGGGGAGACGCCGGCCTGGCAGGCTGCAGAGCGCTGCCTGTCGAATCCACTTGGCCACGAGCCCAGCTTGTACGGCTTTCACCAAGAACCTCTCCCTTCCTCGGCCTCACCTTTGTCAACCCTATGGGAGAGCTGACCTTGGCACCTTGGCCTCACCTCTTTGAAATATTTATTATTGTCCCCCTTTGCCAGGTGAGGAAACGCAGACTCGAAGAGGTTAGGCTCCACAGCTAGAAAGTGACAGGGTCTGGATGCCGGACATGGAGGGGTTAAAAAGCTGGTGTGCGGTATTGATCGGGTGCTCTCTACTACATCCTGTTGCCTCTGTTCTATTTCAATGGGGAAAAAAAGACGATAAGCAGCCAAGTCGGGTGTACCGATAATTATGAAAACTTTCCTTGTTTTCGTCTCCGCTCCTTTGGCATGTCTCCATGCCTGGAGAAGGAGATCGATCATTTGAGAGATGGAAATTAGGTTTCTTTTCGACTGCCCATGACTGACTGGTGGCGGCTGCCTAGACTGCTGTTTTGAGCGGATTCAGAGGCTGCTAGTAGGCTCTGGGACAGATGCCAAATTGATGAATGATGTCTGCCGAGAGCACAGGGGCAAAGGGTTGCTATAAGTATCTCCTGCCTTTTCTGGGAAGGCTGAATGGCCCTCATGGGCACTGCTTTCCACCTGGTGGCAGCTAGCTGAAGTGCAGCAGAAATAGGACTTCAGGGCAGTGTTTTGCAAAGTCACAATGGAGGCGGAAGCACAGATATCAAGCAGGAAATATTTTCAGATACACACCTTGTCCCCAGGACATAGCAGCGGGGGTGGAGAAATGGCAGGGAGAGAGCATGGGTAGTTTGGGGGGAAGGGTGGGGAACCTCCCCAGGTGATTCTAACATTGAGAACCACTCTTTTGGGGGTGAGAAAAGAAAATGGTCTCAAACTTGGCCTGGAAGAGAAGTTTCTGATCGGATGGAATTGACAACTGTTTCTGGGAAATAACCAACATCCCTGACAAACTGCCTCAGCACTTTTGGGGTAGATGATAGTGAGATGAAGAACCCATCTGGAAAGTTAGTTACCTACTCAGCTCACTTTCGGGGCCGTTGAGAATCTTGAGTGAGGGGCCATCTGCGAAGCCTCGATGCAGGATGGAAAGCGCTAGAATACAAAGGAGGTGTCTGATGATCTACTTCAGTATTAAGGGGTGGCGTTAAGAGCATTGCACGGGGAGTCCGACAATCGAGCTCCTTTTCTGGCATCGCATCCATGAGACGCTGGATGTGTCATTCCCCTCTCTGAGGTCTGGGTTATTCACCTGTTAAATGAATGAGCTGATTGAACCGGGCCCTGGACCAACTCTAGCATCTTTCAGCCTGACATTATCGGATCCCACAACCATTTCGGACTTTTCCCCAAGGTTGGGATAGCGGGCAGAAAATGAGATGCTGCCTGTTGGGTGGGCACCAGCCAAAAACACTCTTCTAAGGAGGTACAGGGTTGGCCAAGTCGCCCCGAGCCTACCTGCCCAAGATGAAACCCCCCCAGAGGGCAAGCTCCACGTAGGCAGAGACCACATCTTCCTTGTTCAACACCATATCCCCAGTGGCTGGAACATAGTAGATGCTCATCAAACGCTACTCAGGTGGCATCGTGGATCCTGGTGGGGAGAAAGAACTTCCAGAAACCAGAAAGGAAGAGTGCGGGCCACCAGTTTTCCTGGGTATTGCTACTTTATTTTTTGGCTACATCATCACAAAGAAAGGTGGATGGTTCTGCATGCACCGGAGGGCGTGTGTGTGTTCTAGGCAGTTACGTTTGTCGGGAGGGCGGAGAGAGCGTGCAGGCACGGTGAGCTTGCCACATGCTGATTCCAGTGCCAATACCAGCGTTGGGCTTGGGCGACACAGCCAGCATGCTTTCTCCTAAGGGCGAACCGTGGAAAGGAGGTGGGCTGAGAGTAGGTGCCAGGGGGCCTGACGAGGAGAGAGGGGGTCAGGAGGGAAGATGGCGGCCAGGAAGCTGTTGGGCATCTTGGGGAAGGGAGAGAACTTGATGGTCAGAAAATGGTCCTTCGAGGCAAGAAATCAGTGACTTTTGATGACTTGTGCAGAGAGCTGGGGGTGGAGAACATTGAAAGGGAAGGTTCCAAGGTGTTTAGAGAAAGTAAGCGTTTGAGTGTCCATCTGATGACTTCTACAGATAATTAGTGGGGCTTTGGACAGAGAGGGTGATTTCCGCAGCGGAAGACTTCATGGAAAATTGGGGGAAACCAAGTCTTTCTCACAGGGCACCGAAGACGCCCCGAACTCAACCTCGAAATTATAATGGTTGTCCTGTTTTTTTTTTCTACTTTTCCAACCAAATTTTTAGGAAAAAGACTGAAGAATTTATGATGCAACAAAAGCCTTTGGCATCAGAATCTGTCATTCTCTCAAGCTGTAGATTCTTGATGATGGTATTTTATTCTTCCGATACACTTGGCGAAGGGGGTACGAGGGAGAGACAGACTGAGAGACGGAAGGAAGCAGAGAGATTCGAGGCGATTCTGAGGGACGGTGTGGGAGTCCAGGAAGCGGAAGATCAGTGCGGGGCCGGGGGTCG